TCTTCCTGTATTTGAACTTCATCATCAAGAAATTTTTCCAAATCGTTTGTCGTAAGTCGGCCAATTCTTATAATCATTTCGCCAAACTCAAATTTTCATTAAGATAACCGTCTAACACTAGATTTGAAGGAAAAAAATTTGATTTATTGGCGAAAAAAATTGATTTGCAACAAACGTATCAATTCAATGCATTGCTTATATAGTTGGAACAGGGTCAATGGACGCAAGGAAACAGAGAAAAAATACTTACTTCTTTTTGGAAAAAATCAATTTTCAAAAAACAAATTAAAGCCGTAAAGCACTTTGAAACCCAAGAAATTTATTATTGGCAGTTTTTTTGATAAAACTAACCCATTTAAGAAAACTGGATTAAAAGGTAAATTTTTTTATTCCGCTGGGAAATTAAAATCTACTTTCGAAACAAGAAGTTCATGGCCTTAACACTTTGGCCTTTAGATAGTGGATTTTGCCTTCCTTTTAACAAAAGAAATGAAAATAATTTGAAGAGGAATCATAGTTCAAACCCCGATAAGTCAAAATTGAGCGTGAATAAATTTTTAAAATTTTCCTGAAAAAATTCATCAAGACCAATATAAATGAAAATCGTTTCGTTCTTTTGGCTCTTTTCCAGTTTCCCACCCCCCTCGGAAAATTACAATATGAAGCTGTTTAAAAATTATTCACACGGCATTTTGCATGTAAAAAAAGTTGTAGAAATTTGTTCACAAATACAACTAGGGGAACAACTGAAACTGGAATTACGTACGTATTTAATACTTTTTCATATTGTTTTAGTGATGCGTCTTGAAATAGGTAATTTCAAAAAGGGGACTTCGCCCAAAACCTTAGATTTTGAGATATTGGAATTTTCACATGAAAGTAACATTTCTTTTACCAAAAATTAAGGAGTCGCCGCTTCTGTGGGAAAAATTCTCGAAACCGGTGTTCTTTCGAATGACCCCTTATGTTCAGACATGAAAGGTTAAATCAAAAACTTTTTCGGAAATCCATAATTTTTTCCAGTCACAGAGAAAAACAGTCAGTTTCAAAAATCTTAGTTTTTTGAAGACGACTTTTCTCTTAAAAAAAACTATGTAGAGCCAATTATAAAGGTAGGCTGTCAACAACCTTTTACTTCGATTAAACCCTTGATATCAGATTTGGCGGGATAGTTATCGATGAAAATTCCAAAAATTGGTCAAAGCGAAAATTTGACGTTTCCGAGAATCAAAGCTTTGTTTTAATTTTTTTTTGGCGTAGCTACACATGCACAGGAGCTTCACGCAACCTGTTATTTCGATTGGAACCAAAATCTCAGATTTGATAGAGAAGCTTTCAAAAACTAAAAAAGTTCTACAGAGAGCTGAACTTCAAAAACACTAGCAAGAACACAAGAAAAAGCAGCTTCAAAGTGAAATTAGAAAGATAGAAATAAGCCTTCAATCAATAAAACTTTGCTATGTATGAGCTTTGAGCCTCCAACCTCGAGAATTGGAGTCTCACGCCCTGCTCTCTCGGCCACGAACGCTTAACAACCGGCAAACACTAGTAAAGCACTTTGTCTAACACTAGATTTGAAGGAAAAAAATTTGATTTATTGGCGAAAAAAATTGATTTGCAACAAACGTATCAATTCAATGCATTGCTTATATAGTTGGAACAGGGTCAATGGACGCAAGGAAACAGAGAAAAAATACTTACTTCTTTTTGGAAAAAATCAATTTTCAAAAAACAAATTAAAGCCGTAAAGCACTTTGAAACCCAAGAAATTTATTATTGGCAGTTTTTTTGATAAAACTAACCCATTTAAGAAAACTGGATTAAAAGGTAAATTTTTTTATTCCGCTGGGAAATTAAAATCTACTTTCGAAACAAGAAGTTCATGGCCTTAACACTTTGGCCTTTAGATAGTGGATTTTGCCTTCCTTTTAACAAAAGAAATGAAAATAATTTGAAGAGGAATCATAGTTCAAACCCCGATAAGTCAAAATTGAGCGTGAATAAATTTTTAAAATTTTCCTGAAAAAATTCATCAAGACCAATATAAATGAAAATCGTTTCGTTCTTTTGGCTCTTTTCCAGTTTCCCACCCCCCTCGGAAAATTACAATATGAAGCTGTTTAAAAATTATTCACACGGCATTTTGCATGTAAAAAAAGTTGTAGAAATTTGTTCACAAATACAACTAGGGGAACAACTGAAACTGGAATTACGTACGTATTTAATACTTTTTCATATTGTTTTAGTGATGCGTCTTGAAATAGGTAATTTCAAAAAGGGGACTTCGCCCAAAACCTTAGATTTTGAGATATTGGAATTTTCACATGAAAGTAACATTTCTTTTACCAAAAATTAAGGAGTCGCCGCTTCTGTGGGAAAAATTCTCGAAACCGGTGTTCTTTCGAATGACCCCTTATGTTCAGACATGAAAGGTTAAATCAAAAACTTTTTCGGAAATCCATAATTTTTTCCAGTCACAGAGAAAAACAGTCAGTTTCAAAAATCTTAGTTTTTTGAAGACGACTTTTCTCTTAAAAAAAACTATGTAGAGCCAATTATAAAGGTAGGCTGTCAACAACCTTTTACTTCGATTAAACCCTTGATATCAGATTTGGCGGGATAGTTATCGATGAAAATTCCAAAAATTGGTCAAAGCGAAAATTTGACGTTTCCGAGAATCAAAGCTTTGTTTTAATTTTTTTTTGGCGTAGCTACACATGCACAGGAGCTTCACGCAACCTGTTATTTCGATTGGAACCAAAATCTCAGATTTGATAGAGAAGCTTTCAAAAACTAAAAAAGTTCTACAGAGAGCTGAACTTCAAAAACACTAGCAAGAACACAAGAAAAAGCAGCTTCAAAGTGAAATTAGAAAGATAGAAATAAGCCTTCAATCAATAAAACTTTGCTATGTATGAGCTTTGAGCCTCCAACCTCGAGAATTGGAGTCTCACGCCCTGCTCTCTCGGCCACGAACGCTTAACAACCGGCAAACACTAGTCACAAAGAAAGCAGCTATTTATTCTAACAAATTGCCAATGCAAGGCAGCAAAAGTGGCACCAAATACAAATAGACACCATTTTGCAAGTAAAAATTTAGAATATAACAGACTGAATACATCCACACTAATTATGCATCTAATAAATTGGAAACCATAAAATCACATTATGTATAAACTATGCATTTCAAAAAATTGGTAGATCTATTGAGTTCGAAAAATTTCTGAAATCGAGTTTTTATGATTATGTTGTTTGATACAAAAAGCTTTTTTTGGTTCATTTGAAGAATTTAAAATGTATTAACTGTGTTAACTTATTCCTAGTCGAATGTAAGAGCACAAGCTATCAAAAAGCGGTAAATGTGCCCCAAAAGTCGCACCAATATTTGCGACTTAGGTTAGAAAAAAAGAATAGGAGTTCAATTACACTTACGCTCAATAAATTTCGCTTGTTTAACCACTAGCCACCAATTAAGCAAATACAAGAATATAAGGCAATGCCGCAAAATTAAACCACATATAATGCTTCGGTTGGGAAAAAAAAGAATAGTCTTAGCATAAAACCATCGTTCACTAAAGTTCCCTAGAGCAAAAAATCGGTCGAAAACTTCATTCTCCGAAGCCCATAAATTTTTCTGCAACAATTGTGTCGAAACCACTTCAGAAATAAGATTCTTAAAATCGGTTTTCTCGACTGATCACTTAAACTAAGAATTGGCAGGATACTTATAAAAACAAAACTTACAAAAATGGTCAACAAATCAAAAAAATGATTTTTCAGAGAATCTTTGCTTTTTGTGAAAAAACAGTTGGTGGTAGCTGCTTATGCAGAAGACATTCACGCAGCCTTAACTTCGATTGAACCAAGAACTCAGATTTGGGAGATTAGTTCTCCAGAAGAGTCAAAGTTTCAAAAACGGTCTTTAAATCAAAAGTTTGACTTTTCCGAGGGCCATAACTTCTTGTGCCAAAGAAACGCGGGCGTAGTTGCGTATGGAAAGAAACATACCACAACCCGTTATTTGGATTGAACCTGATATCTAAGATATGAGGGCAATTTTTGAGAAAATTCAAAAAGTTTTAAAAACGTTCAAAAAATCGAAAACTGATTTTTCCGAGGTCAAATTTTTTTGTGCAAAAAATTTGTGAGAAGCCGCTAATTCAAGGGAGCTTCCCACTACCCGTTATTTCCATTGAGCCCACAATCTCAGATTTAGGAAGGTAGTTTATGAGAAAACGAAAAAAACATGGGTCAAAAATTCCTTGTTCGAAGGCTGTAGACAGATAGGTAAAAAGAGACTACAGGAGTATGCAGAGACACAGTAGAGTAGGCAGTCTTGCCACTGGTACTTTAAAAAAAATTGATGGAATAGTTTTTGAGAACAAAGAATTTTGCAGAAAGAAAAAGTTTCCAAAGCGTCTCAAAAAAAAAACCAAATTCCATACATTTTCATTATTCGTTTTTATCCAAAAAGAATTCTACGCAAACATGCCAAGCAAGAAAATTCCAAAGCGTCTGAACAAAATAAAATAAAAACCAAACTCCCGACATTTTCATCATCCCTGTTTTTATCCAAAAGGAATTCAACGCAAACATGCTAAGCAAGAAAATTGACTGGTAAATTAGCAATGAAACATAACTGACGAAGCGGAAACAAAGCCGATAATCTTTGAGCATACACTTGCTTGCAGTGCGAAAAAACGCGAAGTGCCATTTAAGCCGGCAAAAATTAAGCAGATAAAGCCCGACAAAACAATTTTTGCCAGAAAAAATCTGCATTGCATACATACTGAAAAAAACAAGGTTAGACCGGACTTGAAACCCGGCATTTGGGTGCAAAGGCGCGAAGGCGTTACATCTAGACCATTTGCGAAGGAACCTGGAAGTTGTTAAGGTTGAATAATTATGCAATTGCCCCAAAACAATTTTTAATTAATATTTTAGTATTGTATCAAAAAAATGCACTTAAAATCTGCGAGACTAAATCAAATTTAACTAACTTGTCTCTTAGCATCGCACCAGATGCTACGGATCCGACAAGCACCACGAAAGACAAGTAGACCAGTGAAGTCGTAATAATGGCTCCTATCGTGCCCACAGGAATCGACGCGGCTGCATTGCGTAGATCACCTGACCGGTTACTTCCCGCCATGATTCCGGTACAGGATGGGAAGAAGATTCCTGTTAGGATCATGGCTGAAGTTGTGATGTCGGCTTTCACAGAAGCAGTTTTGGCGCCTATCTTTTCAGTGATGCCTGGAATGATCTCGCCTTTCAGCCGGTAGAATGAGTGCAGGTTATCTGAAACAGCACAAATTAGAACTGCAAATTGCCCAGCTTTTCCTCGATGATTTCCAGTAAGGATAAAATATACATCACTCAAATTTGACCGTGGAAAAATTCGAAAAGATCATGGGGCTTCAATTTTCAAATTGCTTGCACTTCGTTGCAATAAACATTTAGATTAGCAAGGAGTTTGCGCCAGGAAAATGTGCTAATTTAATCGACTGTAGGAAACAATTTTCGATTATTCTTATTTATTCCAAATGGCTTTTAAGATAGATAGGAATGCCAACTTGGTGCTGCAAAATGCAGCCAAAACTTACTAAGAATTTCTCCTGATGTTATGCCTGGGATTCCATACTTCATCTTCACCTCTCCCTGCAGAAACGGGAACTCCTCGAAACAGACTTCTTCCGTCTTGTTCGAACAGTACATGTCATACATATTTAACTGGTGGTTCGGAGACATGTCGAAAGCGCACTCGTACTTGTCGAAGTTACCGGAGAGCGATATTAGTGTTGGCACTTCATTTTCAAATCCTGGCAACTTCGATGATATAATACAGACCCTAAAACGCTATCGCCTTTCACCACTTTAACAACACTCCTTTTATGAAGGAAAATTATTACTGCTACATTCTTCAAAACACTTTTACTGCTACAATATTATTGCAACATTACGGTTTAAATACAGCATGCAATTTCTATTTGAATTACAGTTTATATTTGCAATTTCTACAACATCAGTTCATGAGATTCACACCGGAGCAAAATCATTCCTAATAAGAAATGGTAATCGACTTGTTTAAATTATTTTAGCTTCTTTATAGCAACCGATTTACATTTTAAAAGACGCAGTCTGCTCGACGTAATAAATTGCCTCCAACTCATCAATCAAACGGGTCTAGGACAACAAGCCGACGGGACTTCAAGCCGAAGGGACTTCAAGCCGAAATTGAAACATTACAAGCACCTCAAAACGCTATTTTATCATCTGTAAAAAGTTGTTTTTCGAAAACTTTGGCAAGTTTAGTCCATAATAAGCGTTATTCATGAAAATGCACCTCTTGTGATTGGCATCCGTTAATACTATCAGCCGGTTTTTGAAATGCATTAATTATAAACATGAAAAATGCCTTCAACCATGTTTTAATTTTCAACTTTCCGAAACATCATTTGGAGGCTCAAATTATATGCAAACGCCTATAACTAGTGAAGAAAGATCATAAAATTCAGAAATTCTTTAAAAAAGTTTTCAAATTATTCATATTTCACGACTTTATAAGGAATTATTCGGCTTGAAGTCCCTAATTTTACAATTCGGCTTGAAGTCCCGTCGGCTTGATGTCCGGCACCCCAATCAAACAACCTTTCACTATATAATTCAATTCGTTCAGTTCCCCGGGAGTAAATTCAAGTGGCTAATTCGCCTAAGGCTATTAAACAGGAAATCCAATTGCATTTTATGAACCTATCGAACAATCCCATCAATTGTTATCTCATAAAGCAGAAAAAAAAAACAGAACAGATTTCATAGTATGATAATGTTACTCTAGGTTCCTGATACATAGTCTTCAGGACAACTAAAAACATCAACACAAGGACTTTGCAGAACTGTTCTGAACACTTTTCGTGTTCTTTTTATTACATTTACTATTATATTTTTTGGTATTATGCGCATCTGAGTCTGTAGGCTACTTGAGCTTTCACTTTATCGTCTGGCCACAAATGCTAACCAATCGAATATTTTCCAATCAATCGAATAAGAATTCGAACTAGACTGACCTTGCCACGTCAGAGGACGTGAAGAAGCCAATGTAGATACAGAGTATAGATGTGATCACACATGCCAAAAACAGTCCTGCTAATTTGTTCACGTACTTTACGCCAACAAATACCAAAGTGGCCATTGCCAGAAGGAACATGGTGCCGTATACTCGCATGTTGTTCAGCATGTTTGTGGAAACACCTTCCACGCTGCTGCCAATAGGACGAAACAGCGCAATCTCTGGCGCAATGTATGTCTGAAACGGATCCCATCATTACTCAGATGTCAATTAAAGATCTATACCAACCAAACTTTATTGTTTCGACAACCCCAGGGGCGAGGAGGTACTTTGCTCCACGGTGTTTTCACCCATTTTCAAGTCTCTCAAAGATGGCTTATACGAGAACCGATTGTGGGCTCACATCAAAGCTTTTTCAGCCGTGTTTCATTTTGGAAAATAATTTTCATAAACGTGACGAAAAATATTGCTGTTTTTTGTGAAATTTCACAACGCATGCGCAGTGAATTAGAGCGTATTACACTTTTCGCTTCCATTGTTACATTTCAATAAACAACTAAACCACTCATTGTTTTTTTGCGATTATAATTGTGCTAGCACAGCAACGACATATACATTTTTAGTTTAATTCAAGTATTTAAGCTTAGTTCTAGTTCTTTGTTTACTAGCTTACTGTGGTTTCAAGAGATAATCATTTAGAGAAAAGCAAGTATTTTTGCTCACGAATACTTATGAAAGAATCTAAAATAAGGAAAACCTAAGTTTCAGATTTCCGTACCTATGGATCGGCGGGTGATATTACTCACGAGAAGTATCTCGACTGCACCGATGATGTACATGGCGGCTGCGAACGATGTGCCTATGAAGAACAGCACACCCACTGCTCCCCCACACTCCGGACCCAGAGCACGCGAGATCATGAAGTAGGACCCACCCGCTACACAAAATCACCCATGTCAACTTTTGAACATTGACAAAACCATTTTACAATTACTTTATCCACTTTCATCTTGTTTTAAAAGCTGGAAACTTGAAGTTGAAAAAACGTTACATTTTCACCAAAAACTGATTTACCGACAAAAAGACAAGCTGCAAAACAAACTAATACCGTGATTTAAGAACAAAAACATTTCATTTTCCATGCCAATAATATGCAAGATATCCACAACAATCTTAGATAGCTTTGTAATTGTCCTTTTTTATTTTAAAATTTCATAAATGCAATCGCTAATTTAATAGAACACAGCCAACAGACAGTTGGAAGAGAGTCAATGAACACAAGTAAGCAAAAAAAATACTGACTTATCGAATTTCAAAGAAAATAGATTCCCTTAAAGCTCTTTTAATTTCTTAAACAATTCAAAACTAGCAGCACTTTTTTTGCTAAATTTAACTAAATTTGAGAAAACTGAAACAATAAATAAAGGTTTTAGTTCGCTGGGAAACATAAAAATTATCATTGCGACTTATATAAGAGTCTGAACTATGTTCATCGACTCTTCATAAACAGATTAAAATGGCGTCTCGAGTAGAAAATCCATTCAAATGACATTAAAAGGCACGGCACTTTTCAGACCGCCTAATCTCTGAAACCTTACCGATTTAATGTTAATTTTTGAACAATAGCAACACGCATAGTTTCAAATCAAAACAAACTGGCAGGAACTTTAAAACACAGGCCAAGCTGCACTTTGCCAACATAAGCGAGAAAAAGGCACTACGTAGCTCTAAAAGTTTAAGAAATGAAAAAAAAAGATATAACTATAATTCTGAAAGGTGCGGGATCGAATACCGACCTCTAGATTCACCGTTACACGTCCTAGCATTTGCGCCATTTCGGCTTCACAATAGTTAAACCTTAGGGGTCCAACTTAAGCTAGGGGTACCTGTTTAATAACATTTTGTGAAATGAACTGATGCGAAAGGTAAGCTTCGAAAAACGACATAGCCAACAGACAGCTGGAAAAGAATCAACACAGAGGCGAAGTTGCACTTCGCATACACAAGCAAAAATACGACCGATAACGCTACTGGGAAAAACTGAATGAGTAAAACTTTGAGTCTACAAAACTTCTTATGTGACGCACGTCAATTATGAGTCCACATAATTGCTAAGTGACGCAAGCCAATTATGACGCATTAGCATTACCAGTCAATTTGAAAATAAATTATTAACTAACATGCCTCAATTTATAGAGTGGACGCATTTTAACTAGTATACGAAAAAATTCATTACAAACATCCGACCTTGCCCAGGTTCGAACCCTCCTATTTTGTCGCAGGTCTCCTTCCCTACCTCTACTCTACAGATCCATGATACCTGGAAGCCAAAATGCTATTTATAATATAATAGTCTGTGTTATTATCCTTAGCATTGGCTGTACTTAATAGCTGGTTTTTGATCAAAATGAACACTAATATTTGCGATTTAGGTTGAAAGAAAAGAGAATTCATACTATCACACAAGCTTTGGTTGTTTAATGGACGCAAGTCAACAGGAAAAATACTGACTTGTTTCTTTTTGAAAAAATCTCATTTTCAAATTTCGAAAAAAAATTATGGCCTTGAAACTCTTAGAAATTATAGAACAATTTATGATTGACACTATTTCTGATAAACTTAACCCAATTTGAGCAAAATCAGAAAATAACTGAGGCAAAATTATAAATTGACAATGAGCTGAAAGAAACTGGAAAAAAGATTCACTTTACAGAAACTTTCGAAACTTCAAGAAAAAAACCTCGTTAAAGCTCCTCAACTTTCAAAAACCATTCTGTCCAAATTTCTTATACAAAAAAGCCCAATTAGAGAAAACTGGATCAAATGATGATTTTATTCCGCAAAAATTGAAAAAAGTAAATCCACTTTCGAACCAAGAATTTGATCAAGTTCCTTTCGCACCGATTCCGCAATTGGCAATCGCAATTTGACTTCCTTCAGTAAATGAATTTGAATTGAAATCCCAAAGAAACGAAAAGTCAAAACTTCAAAAATCGAAATTGGCGTGAAGGCAAACTAGCCCACAGACAGTTGACAAATAGTCAATGAACGCAGAGAAACAGAAAAACAACTTCCAGCTTCAAATTTCCAAGAAAATATAAATGGCTTCGAAGCTCTTTGAAATTCTAGAACGATTTTTTATTGGCACTTTTCTGATAAAATAAAACTAATTTGAGAAAACGGGATTAATAGCTAAAGTTTATATTCCGCTGAGAATCTAAAACATAGCCAACTAACAGTTGGAAAAGAATAATGAACGCAAGGAATATAAAAAAACGGACTTAATTTTCAAGAGCCTTCAATTTTTGAATTAGGAAGAAAAAAATAGATGACCTTAAAGCTTTTTGAATTTGTAGATCAATTTATGATGGACGCTTTGTTGTTAAAATTAACCCAATTTGAGAAAACTGGATCAATACGTAAAACTTTTATTTCGCCCGGAAATCTGATAATTAATTACCATTTACGAAATCAGACGTCCATCAAGTTTTTCGTAGCCTTTACAGTTTTGCTGCTATTTTCGCTGTGAAATCTAAAATTAAATTCCTTTTAGAAACCAGAAAATTAGAGCCAGAACAAATTTTAAGACTGTTCCTGAAAAAAAATCATCTCGACCTATGAAGGAGTCTGAACTACATTCATCGGCTCTTAAAACTAATTTCTACCTTAGAAACTAGAAATTGATCGCGTTCCGCTTTCATATTTGGAGAGCAGTCTTTTAGCAAAAGTACTTGAATCGAACTCAAAAAGCACCTATACCTAAGGACATTCATAAATGCATTAATATGTATAAATGCTTTTCTGTAATTATTGGAGCAGTTCAAGACTTTTCCTGAAAATAAAAAAAAATCATCACAAATATATCATCACGCCCTATATACTCTACGTTCATCGACTCTTAAACAACCAAGAATCATCACAACCTCGTTTAATTTTCTTGACTACGGTTATTGACCTTGAATAAAAACCACCCTTAATATATTTGTTCATCCATGGCTTTACATTTTATTCAATGGTTCAACAACAAGATAACTCTACAAATAACCATCATTTACTGATATTTTCTCATCGTAAAAAGACATCAAAGACAAGTGTCAATTTTATGTCAATAGCATTCAAAACTGGCATGATTAAAAAATAAAAACTATTTTTACCTGGCACATATCCATTGGTAGCGATTGCACTCATTGAAATTGCTGTCAGCATCGTCTAAAACAAAAAAGGTGGTCTTTTAGGGATTACAAGTACATTTTCAGCAACAAAGCTTGTGGAATGGTCGGATGGTGGCTTCAGATCAAGCAATAGATTAGAGACAAATCTCTACTTTATAACGCAATAAAGAATTAGTTTTCAGCAAACCGGGTTTGCCGCGGCCACCGTTGTAACCCTTTCCAACAATTCGTTAGTCAATTTAATAGGCGATACAGTAATGCAAAACCCACTATCCGCGAACAGGATCTACTTAACAATTTTACCTCCCCCCCCCCCCTATTGTAGCTACTAAAGAATATCCACCCCTGTAAATAAAAACAGTAAATTCGCACTACAGCGTTGTATGTAAATTCGAACTTTGCTGCATTCTGATTGGTCGAAAATTCGCTGCAAGTAATCTACTTAACAATCTCTCCCCCCCCCCTTTCTTGAAAGGGGATGGGGCGGAGAGATAGTTAAGTAGATCCCGCTAATATTTAATGGACGAAACAATCTGATTCAGCTCAACGAGTTTTGTTATGCTCTTCACGCTATTCTCTGATTCAGTTATCGCTGTCAACTGATAGTTTTGAAGGCTGCTATTTTATATTGAACGTTAGAAATGAAATTTTGCTAGATCGGATGAACGACATTTTGCTAGGTTGGAATCTTACTCTGTGACATCAAGATTGCATTTTACTGTAGTACCTCACACCCCTAAGGTCAACATGTCAATTAAATTTCGTTACATCAAAATTAATTTAAAAATTCTCGCGAAATTGTTAGATGTTCTGGTCAAATGAAATTAATTTGACGTTTTTAAGGCCAATTTTGAAAGACATTATTGGAAGCGCTTTCCGATAAGTCTTAAAATGTTTGCATATGAAATGATAGTTTGGTACCCTACAAATACCAGACAGTTTAATCGTAGTGGCCAACTAAAAAAAGTGCAAAATTATATATTGTTTAAGCCTCATTGCAGTGAAAATGAGATGTCAGTGAGAAGGCAACGTTTCCATACTTTACTTAAAACTGCTTGTATTGCTTTATGGTTCTTAAGGGAAAATTCGCTAGATTAATTAGTACGACCGTGCAGAAAGCATAAGTTTTCAGCCTGCATGAAACAAGCGAAGCGAGCTACAGTAGTTCCTTTTGTCAGAAAACGCTCAGAGACCACCATCAATCTTTATTATGATGCTTGATAAAAACAGGTATCCACTAAATGAGGAAACGCAATAGCCTCTAAAATATTCATCGATAACTCCAAATCGAACACATTTAATCTCGATGAAAAATGAATAATTTCCCGATATCTTCATGAATGGTAATTCAAGCAGACACTTCGCACAAATCAACCGGAGATGAATGAGTATTAAATTTAAATCCGTAGCGGTAGAACGGTAATAGCTTCAACCTCTAGCCTGTGTTCCTAATCAATCACCTAATAGGACAACTTAAATTGAAATTAAATTTACTGCACGCTATCAACGGCAAAAGAACACCATATAATACTATCCCTAATTCACCAAAGTAAAGCCCTTGAGTAACCGCTATTCCTCAACGACCGAACGGGCATGCTTCAGGGGGAGATGGAATTGGTATGGAATGTTCTACAGAACTGCTAAGTGCATGAGATCATTTTGTCAGCTTAACTTTTCGAAAGTTAAAGCTGTGATAATTTGTTTGTGCACCACTGGTACGTATTACCACTAGCAGTCAATTCCTTAAAACGTTCTTAAGACGATTTATCCACAAGGGAAAGGACCAACATACGAATTGTTCAGCTCTTCACTGAGAACCGCTGCTGTAACCCTGGTTAAGATAAACATGCATTTTTTGGGCTATTTTTCTGGGCTGGGTAATGTTTATTCACCCTCAAACAACAAGCACGGATCATCGTGGGCCTCAAACATCCGACCTTTCGATTGTGAGGCGGAGACGTAACCACTTCACCACCGCTCCCCAGCAAGTAACTGTACTTGATTATTTTAAAATTGGATCTTTAAGTTTTGCTTAACTGCAGAAATGCTGAAAATGAGTCAGTGTAACTTACACATGTGCAACAGAGTAATACGATGAAGAATGCCTGTATTATGCCTGCCTCGCCCACTATCCAGGCCAGTCGGAGGAAAAGAAGCACTCCGAAGATGTTTTGCATCGTGGGCAGATATACTCCAACCACGGTACCTAGCTGCGGCTACAACAGAGATTTAAGTTGAATAAAAATAAATCTGGAGTTTGAACTTTTTTGGAAAAAGTTCTCGTCATTCGATCACCCAAAAATGAAAAATTCCAAGCTAGATTTGGAGATGCATAGATCCGTTGATGAATCGGGTGATTGGTCATCCTTGGTTATTTTTTTCTTCTAAACAAAAAATAAGTCCAAACAGTGCAAACAGCAGAAATTAATAATGACTACTTTTTCAAACATAGCCAACAGACAGGCGGAAGAGTCAATGAACACAAGGAAAGAGAAAAAAAACTGACTTGTTTTTTGAAACAACTTCAACTTCTAAGTTTTAAAGAAATATATGTATATTCCCTCAAATCTCTTTGAATTTCACGAACAGTTTATGATTGGAGCTCTTTTGATAAAATTACACCAATTTGAGAAAACAATTAAACCAATTTGAGAAAACATGATCAATAGGCAAACTTTGTATTTCGCAGGGAAATCTGATAACAGAATTCCATATTCGAAATTAGAAGTCGATCAAGTTTTTTGTGACCTTTTAATTTTTGCTGTTTAATGGTGGAGCTTTCCTTCCTTTTAACAATGGAAATGCACTGAACTTAAAAAAAATCACAAGTCAAAACGCGAAAAAGCAAATTTGAGCCACAGCAAAATTTAAGACTTTTCCTGAAAAAAAGATAGAAAAATCACCGCGACCTTAGAAGAGTCTGAACTACGTTCTTGGCTCCGAATAAAAAATAAATGGCCTTAAAACTTTGTGAATTTCAAGAACAATTGATAATGAACATTTTTCGAAAAAAAATAACCCAGTTAGACAAAACTGAATAATTAGCATTTCTCATATTTCTCTTGGAAATCTTGAAATCCGTGTTCAAAACTGAACGTCAATCACGTTTATCATTACTTTCAGCTTTTTAACCAGAGAAATAATGAGACTTACTTTTAGAATGAATTTGTAGAGAACTTAACAAGAAAATCAAACCACTGAAACTCAAAATCAGCTGAAACAAAACTTTTTAAAGAAATCCAGATTACCTAAATAAGTGTCTTTAATTGATTCATTGGCATTAAGAAATGGTAGGATTGAACATAGCACATGAAATGGAGCAAGTAGCCCCAGGAGTTGACTATTAAATTTTCAAGTTTTGATGTTTCTTGGCAACTTCTGATCATTCTCTTATAAGCAGAATTGACGATTGCTGTAGAAATCTGTTGCGTAGATAAAAAAGATCTGCTGTTAAAAACTCCGGAGTTGGCTGCACTGCAAGCAAGGGCAACTGATCTTTCGAAGTCCCGATGAAAAAAATGACTCATAGACGAAGCGGAGCTTCGCGACACTTGTTATGCATAGCAAACCAAGTATTGCTAACTCGCGATTTGATTATATGAGACAAAACACTACGGTTAAAAAAAATCAGAAAAACTGCCGAAAAACACAATCACCAGTATTAAATCACCACAATCACCAGCTTTTACTTGACGAGCGTAACTAAGCCGACAATACTTTTGCCTGTTGAGCCGAAAACAAAACAAATACCATATAGAACTTTGTTGGGGTATTATGTTTCAAAACTTGAAGCTTTTAAAACCCACTCTACTGGAAAACTGAAAAATGTTTTTTTTACTCGTCAAAAAATGCACAATAAGATCAAAAAGCCAACAAAACATACCAGGGATGTTCATTACCTCCATTCTTGCATTATAAACGTAGAAGTTAAATTGATTATGAAAAGAGGTATCCAAAGATTCGTGATTCTACTAGACAAATTTTTCACCTGGAAAAACGATGTTCCAATTTCATTACTCGTACGAATCGCAAACGTCAATTTCTCGTTCCAATTCAAGTCGTAACAACTGTTAGTTAAAAATGGAAGACTTGTATGAAAAACAAACAAATATTTAATTGAAAAACCAAAAAAGAGCTCGCGAAGTTGGGCTTCTTCAATTTCCAGGCTTTCTAAGATAAAAAAAAGTTGGAAATAAGAAAAAAAAACAGCCGACAAAATCTGAAGAAAAACACGAGTCCGAAACTATTTTTGTTTTTAAACTTCATTTAAAAATTTTGCACAGGTGAAGCACCACTTGCGATAGGAAAATGAATGTCTGTGATTAAAATCAAATGAAAAACAAAAAGTTTTTTAAAAAAATTGCAACAAAAGCGCAAATATCCGGAACATAAATACGTGCACCATATAAAATTTCAAGGAGCTTTCAAAATGCTAGTAAGAAGCCAAATTTTCAAAAACCTTACTGCGGAACTAAGCCGACTTAACTAAGCAGACAGACTATAAACAAAACTAGCCAAAACATTTCAGTTGGCAAAAAAACAGGTCTCGACTGGAATCGAACTCCCGGGCTTTGTCGTCTCATGCATGAGCGTTACAACACTTGGAAAACTGAACCTTCAAAAAAAAACTGGAATTGAACTCCCGGGTTTTGTCGTCGCAAGCATGGGTATTACAGCACCTTCGAAGAAAAATGACCCTTCAAAAAGGTCCGGCGATGGGAAATAAGCCCACTAAAAGAAACAGACGGACGTTAGTCCAAAAAGCAGATAACTCCTAGTTCACAGAAAACAGGTAGCGTTCGGATTTGAGCTACAAGCTTTTACCGTCTCAAGCAGTTAAATTACTTATGGGCCGGATGGTTGATTGAATTTGCATTTATAATTACCAAGTGGAAAAAAGCCACAAAAAATGAGCAAAAAACTTTCATACAAAAAAAACGAAAGTTAGCCGACAAAAAATAGAACGAACATCATAAACCCAAAAAAGTCGACGCTTTCTTCAATTGAATGTCAGAAACAAAAATTTACACAGAAAAAAAATCAATAATTTCGAAAAAGTCGAAATAACTAGATCAATAAAAAAAATAAGACTTGTTTTAAATAAAACATGCCAGGACAATGAAATGTGAAATAAGCATAAGAAAAAAAATTACCAAATGGTAACAAAGCCGAAAAACATCTTGGCGAAACCCTTTTTAAACAAATTCTTTTCGCTCGTCGAAAGACGTCAATAAACCGATATAATATAGGCCAAAACCTATCAAGCCGAAAATAAAAATTGTAACATGAAAAACTTGCATCAGAATTTCTATTAAACTTTTTTGGCATTTCGTGCGATCTAGAGGTGAGCATACCAATTTTGATTTCCTTGAAACGAATAGAAATTAGGTCAGTAAGCCGATAAAAACTAGGCCGTCCCAGGCGTATTCGTTACCTCCAGACCAAGAGTGCCGGAGACGCAACGAAATTAGAATTCATTAAGGCTTGAGCCTAAATTTACCATTTCTAATTTTGACCATTCTGTCCCTAAAGTTATTTACGGGAAAAAATTCTTGTACCAGATTGTAATACCCTTGCTCTCGCAAAGGTAAATATTATGTAATATGATTCAAGTTGTGGTACAAACGCTTTTATATAAGGTTTATATCTGCAAGTTCCGTGCAAATTTTTAAGAAAAGTTGTTCACGGAAAATACTCTAGTTCCCGACTACAAACAAGTACACTACCTATCTTAAGTCAAATTTAAAGAAAATAAGTTTTCGTTTTTTTTTGAAAATTTTTTTATCCCCCACACGCTATTTGAAGTTTGATGTTAAAAATTTCGCGTCCCATTTGAAAAAACATGTATTTCTCATTTCAATTTGAGTTGATTTAATTCGCCGCTCACACTTCAAAAGGACTAAAAATATCGCGGGTTAATTTAACCAAAATAGTACTTCTCATGCCGAATAACTACATAAAAATGGATGCAGGTGCAATATCTTTTCAGCTTTCAGCTCAGGGCATCAATAGCTTCCAGATGGTATAATAGCTTTCAGACTATTGCATCAATTTTTGTCAGAAAAAGCTAGTTAAGAAAAAAACTTTAGAGAAAAACAACAATCTGAGCACAAATATTCCATCATTTTCTGGGAAAATCGGAGCAATAACTTTTCAGTTTACCATTTCCAATTGGTCAACTCGACATAAAAAAAAGCAATCAGATAGTTCGAGAAGTATAATGAACGCGGAAAAGGACGAAAACTGAATTGTTTTACGATTTTCAAGAAAAAAGCTTTCTTAACTTCCACATCAAAAAAGACTGAAAATTTTTTGATGATATCAACCCATTTTCGAGCCTAGAAGTCATTCACGTTTTCCACGTTCTGAATTGTACAGCGTAAATTACCTTCCTTTTAGAAAATGATCTTGAATCGAACTTAAAGCAAATGTGCGCAAAAGATTAAAATTGGCGCAATCAAATTGACAATTTTTTTTTATCATTCCACAGGGAAATCTTAAAATTAAAACCCATAATCAAAATCATATGTCGATCACATTTATATTGACCTTCACATTTTTCGATACGAGCGTTTGTCTTCTTTTTACCAAAATAATTGCAAATTTAAATACAAACGAGAAAAAAAACGAACTATATAATTTTCTGATTACGCTATCTTGTCTTTGCACAGCATTGTTATAACGCTGCATTGTTTGCACAGCATTGTAATGTTCAATTTTGAAAAAGGCATATTCTAGCTTCAATCAGTTTTTTGGCATTTTTAGACATATTCTAGCTTCCGTTTTTTGGCATTTTGCTTAAATTCTCATCCTTGAAAGACATATATCAACGCTCCTAAAGACAAATTGAGGAAACAGGACAAACGTTAATAAAATTCAAGAGCGCATAAATTCACGCCAACCCAATTAATTTTTTTTAAATACACGTCCTGGTAAAAACAACTCTCTAACATTCGCTTACTTTAAACTTCAGTGGGAGTTCTAGGCAGTTTTATATCAGTTAAAGGGACAAATTGGCATAAGGTGGTATTCTGTAATTACATCAAACAAAGGTTTCGGTGTTCACAATGACCTTAAAGTATGAATACGTCGAGACTACGTCGATTTTTTTTCAATCAAATTTTGGAAACTAAAAAAACTTAAAAAAAAATCAAGAAAACCAAAAAAAAACGACCAAATATTTTAAGTTTTCAACAAATAGGGGTTTTAAATCACTCAAGAATCTTTATGATTAACGAAGATTAATCAAAATTGAGCGTGAAAAACTTTACAGAGTTTCCTGGAAAAAAAACACGACCGACAAGAAGTGTCTTCATTTCGTGCAATGACAAGGCTCGCAGGAAAAGTTTGAAACGGTAATTGAAAAATAAATCAAAAACTAAAAATAGAAAACAGTGGACCTGTTTTGCTTGCACTTTCGGCTTGTCGACTGCGTTATTCTCTTTCTGCCCTCCAGCTGCTGCCTCGTTAGTTGCGTTGAGCGTTTCTGTCTTCCGAGTGCTCACATTCTGCACAGTGGAACTGTAGTCGATCAGTTTGGACAGAATAGAACTCACCATGGGTCTCTGTTCCGCTTCGTCTTCGTACAGCGGAATCGCTTTCCCTTGCGAGGAATGAGAGAGAAGCTGAGGTGCTGTAGCTCCTTCGGCACTGCCATTTGTCTTATCTAAACCAGTGTAAAGTTAGGTTATCCTCCCACTAGAAAAGTCGATGATTCGAGGCCAACCATGAACCGCGATCGTGGAGTGAGCAACCTTTTTTAGATCGAACGATTTGATTTGTTTATTTTGACCACAAGACCCTATTTTGTTGAAATCAATATACTAAGCTTTTCAAAAATCTCGCAAAATGAGTCGGAAAATTTCAGAAATGCACATTTATTTGTTTTACTGTAGATTGAAAGAAAGAAAGAAAGAAAGAAAGAATTTATTTCTCACTGTTAATGGTAAATTTGCATATAAAGAGAATTAAAATATGAAACACCAGAAACAGTGAGGGGACAGTTAACGAACCCAATTTGGTTACTCAGCACTGCCCGTTTTATCAAATGAAGGACAAATTTGTGATCTTCAAAGACAAGGAAAAATATATGAATCTGAAAACATAAATGAAGATATTGGAGAAGAAAAATACTCAAGTATGAAACAAATTAGTTTTTATTGATTCAACTGATGAATTAAACAAGCATCAACTGGGTTAACTTATTACTAATCAAAGTACTGAACACATGGTATTATGCTGCCAATATATCAAAAGGGCTAACAAAAGTAGGACTTTTCTTTGCAACTTATGTTTGAGACAAAAGTTGCACGGTACTATCACACTACGCAACGATTGTGTATTACACTTTAATATTTGAAAGTATTACAATTTTTAAGAGTTTCCTGAAAACAAAAAATAACCACGACCTTTATAAAAGACAAATCACTGTTCTTATACACTTTTGAAACTACTCCAAGCATAAATATTCCTTAGTTTTTTTCGCAACTCGGACCAATAACGCATGGCTATAAATCCTTGAATACTGAAGCATGGTTAATTTGTGGTGCAAAACAAAAATATTCACCTGCATTTTCCATCGCAAAGAAAAACTAAGTATTTTCACGAAAAATAAAGGCAACTGAAACGGGTAAAATTTCAAGATGCTATTAATAATAGCGAATAAGAATACTGAAATTGGGTTTCAATTGGTCTCCAAATTTTAATAGCAGTGTAATGAAGACGTATCAATCTAGTGACGCGAACCACACAGCAAAATCTGACGAAACTGAAAACCATCAGTTTTTATACTTTAATTATATGGCATGTAGCAAATTTGAAACTGTGCAGTGAAGCGGAAGTCAAAATGGGGGAGATGGAACATGTAGCATCTGGTATCCACTCAACAAACTTCAACTGCCAGATTTTTTATCTCGATGTTAGATCCATCTTTGTTGGATCGTATTGTTCCACATTTGATAACATATTATTGATCCGAGTACTTTCAAACTGAAATCGCCAGGTTATGAATTTTCAATTTACAATCTTAGTAATTGTTGATTTGAATGTCAGCTTGTCAGTAATTTTGTCAGTAATTTTAGGAAAATTTTGCGGTATGCATTAGCAATATATTAAGTTAGAAAGCCGGCGTATCAAACTGTATGCCGCAAACTCAAACAGACAGGCCAGGTGAACAGAAGACTGTTTTAATCGGTCTGAGAGGGAATAAGATGTTTATTTTTGAACGCAGGCTAGGTAGCAATTCATTCTAAATGGGGAAGGCAACCTTCATTGCAGGATGTTTGCTTTTATTTGAAAGAGGTAATGAATATTTAACAAGTTTGGAAAAATCATTTGAATGAAACCAACACTCAGCTCTTGCTTATATGCCATATTTGTCTTCGCGTGCAGCCAGAAGATTCATTTTTTTCTTCAAATCGTTTTTTATTGATTTGAAAACCAACAACCAAAATGATCAAAATGACAGCTTGAACCTACAACAACAGTTCGATATGAGTTAACCTTCCGAATATAAAAGGTGAAAAAATATCCAGTGGGCTACTTCAATCAAAAATAATCAATGCTTGCACGAGCACTCAAATAAACACTAGAAAGAAACTAGAATTAGCCACCAGGTTTAAAAATGGGTCTGCACAGATGGAATTCGAATCAGCGACGAAAGCATTCAATGCTGAGAGTTGATTAATATATAATTGCTTTTTGTACGTCTCACAAATGAAGTAAAAATGAACAAGACCACCAAATCAGGCACAGCGAGCAAATTGCAGTCAAGGTGAGATTAAATTCCTTGAGCAATACACGACTTGATATATATCGCTCTAAGCATTTGCAACGCTAAAGCTGGCATACGCTCTCATTGATTGAGAAGGAAAAGTTGGTCTAATGGAATTGAAAATTTGCACCATATAAAACAGAGCACACTATTCTACTTCAAATTTCTACCTCATCAGAACGCATTCAAGGAATATTGATACCATTTCAAATCCACTGGAAAGGTAACTTAACCTTTTTTAATCCAAATATGTCACTTCAATTATAGTACCAGATTTCCAACTGCTCTTAAAACTGCCAATTCCGAACAAAATTAAGAACCATTTGCTCCCTTCGTCGTATTCGAATCAGCCAACAGAACACTTTTACAGCATTGAACACTTCTGAGCTGCTCCACTGAAAACATTACGTCGAAAACTCCACATCAGTAGGAACACTCATTTTAGAAACTCAAAAATTTGAAACAATAAAAAAACAGTGATGAGCAGTTTGATTAAATTAAATAAAATTTTATTTAAAGCAATAGTCCAAAATTAGGTCAAATTGGTTAGACATGAGAAAAAAGCTAAAAACCACTGTACCGCATGCTTCAGAAGTTCTGGACAATTTAAATTAATTTGAATATTTCCATTAAGTTTCTTCTTTCTCCGTGTAGAAACTAGCTATTTACACCGCAAAATTTATAAACCGCAAAATCTCAAATATCGTTGAAAAAATATTGTAAAATAAATAAAAGGAAAAACAGTTGATGTTTGTTTTTGATCTGCTGGCCGAGCAGCTTTCTATAACAACACCGAAGCCTTTGTTTTTACATTGCACAGCGCCTTATCGGCAGGTGTCTTCTTTTGACGATAATAGGGATATTTTCAGTTCAAACGCGGAGTCATAAAATGGGCTGCGCAGTAACATGGTACCGCGCATTGAAGGCGTTCAGACAGTCTACAAACAGGAATATTTATGAACTACCTGCAAAGCAAAAGAAAATTTGAGTCAAATCATTACTTATTCAAATGGAAAGATGTATAGCAATTTGATACCCGTTTCTGAACCATTACAAAATATTCTGAACTTACTAAAAGTATTTTACCGATAACAGAATTGCCAGAAAGAACAACGAGTATTTATTTATTAAACTAAATGGATAGAAACTCGCTGATATTTTTGATCTTCGCGCCAAGCGCGCCGAAACTACGGTTTTGGGTTTTTTTATCCAAAGCCAGGTAACGCAAAGACACGTCGTAGAAAGACACCATTAAAATACATCACACAGAGGCGAAGCAGCACTTTCCAAAAGCAAGCGACCAAGGAGAAAAAGCAGCTTAAAAATTTTAGAAAACGAAATATGGAAAAGGTGAATTTTTTTTTGATATGTGCCGGAATCGAAACTCTGACCAAGACATTTATAATTCCACATTCTCGCATCTAAACGAAATGAGCATCTTTTTTGCGGGTTGGTTTAGAAGATAACATTATGATCGCTAGCTCGAATGATGTATAATAAAAAACTTTTCAACCACGATTTTATCAACATTTTAAAATTTGAAATGACTGAAGCTATTGCGCAGCGTAGGATTTCTTGCCCAATTTTAGCTACATCAAAAAAACTCGCAGATGGTTAAATTTTGTATCAAATTGAAACTCTATAAGTTGAGATTCCGATTAAGTCGAAAAAAATGATCTTGCCGAGATACCTAGTTTGAATTTTTGAAGAGAAAACCGAATACTTTCCGCGGAAATTTTCAATTTCTACGTTTATACAACTTGAAAATCAAATGTTAAGTTTCAAACACAGAAGCGAAGCGGAGCTTCGAACCACTCGCGATACAATTATAACAAAAAAAACATAAGTCGAAAATAAGTTTTAAATGTTGAAAAAAACTGGGTGAAACAAAACTTTCGTATGTCTCGATGAAAAAAATTAGGGGCCCAGCATAAACTGGAGGTACGAGTTTGATATTGCATGAATTCGCTATACTGATGCGGCACGAAAATTGTGATTTTAGAAATTGGACTTTGCCCAAAGCCTTAGTTGTTTCTCTACTAAAATCAGCGAGAAGAGTAAATAAAAATTCCAGATACTCAATTTTCACATTGAGATAACATTTCTCTATAAAAAAGGAGACTCCGCTTCTGCAGGAAAATTTATTGCAACCGGTTTTTTTCAATTGAAAATTTTCATCTCAGATTTGATTGTTTTAAGAAAATTCTGAAAGTTTCTAAAAAACGTTCCAAGTTGTGGCCGCTTAAGCAGAGATCATTTCCAAAACCATGTTTCTCGATTGAACATAACCTAAGAATTGGCACGGTTATTTTCGCGTAAATTGAAAAAGTTTTTTTCAAAACACTGACAAAGTTTTGAAATTTCGATTTGTTTGAAGGCCACAACTTTTTTTAACCAAACAGGGCAAAGCCAGTTATAGAGGGATGCCTTCAGCAACCTGCTGTTTCGATTAAACCTAAATCAGATTTCTATTCATTGAAAACAAAAACTGATGAAAGGGGCAGTTTTCGAGAAAACGAAAAAAAAAATCAAAAACATGGGGGAAATATTTTACCATAGTCTTTTTCGAAGGCTGTTGACAGAGGGTCAAGCAAAAATAGACTATAGGTGATTATACAGGCACAGACGAATAGGCAATCTTTCAATTGAAAAACCTTTTCTGAAAATCGGTAGTTTCTGAGAAAAACTAAAATTTTGTAAAAAGTGAAAGGTTTTTCCAAAAAGAAAAACCCATGCAATTTCAACAAAACGAGTGACAAACATACAACCAACATGGAAAGAGCAAAATGTAGTGGTGTTAAAATTGTGTTGCCTTTGAAACGACCCAAAATTAGGTCATGCATATGAAAAAATTAGGCCGAAACAATTTGGGGAGGAATTTACATAGCGAAACAAAAAAACACAAGGAATGGGAAGTCAAGGTAAGTAAAATTACAAATTGTAGGACTAAATCGAACACTATAAGCAACATTAAAGAAAAATGTGCGCACCAAAAAAAAATATTCCAAGATGATACAATAATTTTTCAAATCTTTTCACTTTTTCCAGCTCGACAACTAAGCCGACTACAGATAAATAATTGGCCGACAATTTTACTTGAAACAGAATATTTCTCGTTTGAAAAAAAAAAACAGGTCCTGCTGAGAATCGACCCAGAATCTTAGCCGTGCAGCTATATTTGATACCTCTAGGCTAAGTTGGCCGGGAACGCTCAGAAATTTGAAAACCTTATGAAACAAGGTACCACTAGAGATGAGTCCAGATGAGTCGTGTGAACGAAGTTATTTACGGCAGAAAAAAGTCTAGTACCTGATTGCAATACCCTTGCTTATCACAAGGGTAAAAAGTATAGCTATCTATATTCAACTGGGTTCGAAATATACTGTGCTATTTGCACAGTAACCGGCCGGCTCCTCTTTTCGAAATACTGATTCAAATTGCAATTTTCCTGCTCGAAAAATAAAGCAATAAATAACAAAGAATTCAAAACTATTCAGTTGGATGCTCGATTATCATACAACTGTTACAAAAGAAGATCCGGGCAAATCAATTTGAATCAATCAAAATTCAAGTGAATTCAACATACTCAAGTGCGTTCAACATACCTGACATATTGCAATATATAGCTAATCAATGAGGCTTTTATCGACCAACCATAAGAAACAAACAAGTCTTTCGTTATTGTGCGAACAAAAACCAATAACAGCACACGGGTTAATTAAATCTGTTGCATTAAAACTCGATCTCGGGCTCAAATAAACAATTGTTTCCTTCCTTACTAACGCTGCGAAGGATATCTCCGAGCGAAACAATGGATTCTCAGTGGCTAGCAAAGGAATGCTCTATCCAAATGACCATAATTGGCAGGGAGGGAGAGTTGGGGGAGGGGGTACTCATTCTTTTCAACTTGATTTTTACAAAGGGTTCAAATAGCTCTCAAAAAAGATCCGTACCTTTACTCGTTTCCTTTGACTTGGGTTCTGATATCTCTACCACTTCAAATGTACGCCCACCACGCGCAGCGGTGTTTGATGATGAGTTGTTATTTTCAGTAGACATCGGAGCTGGATCACTAGGCTCTGATGTAGCATTATTCACGGTACAGTTACCTAAAAGCCACACAGCAATCTAATGTACCACGACACAAAATATATCTTCATAATGATTAAAGACAGTACATTTTTGACTCCCGCTTCAAGTTTATTCTTTGAAAAAATACCAACCCACTTTTATGTATTCCCCTTAAAAACTGTTTTTAGGAGTTGGGCTAAAATTTCATATTCGACTGAATGAAAGAAAAGGACAAAACTCACTTTCAATGTCTGACGCAGTCATGTTGGCAGTTCATTTGAGTTGAAATCTTCATGCAAGTAAATCTGGAACAAATTCTACGGAATTCTTTTTGAAATGGAAAATATTTCCTATGGTTACTTCAAATTGAAGGACGTATAACAGCAATAACGAGCTCTACCGACCAAATTATTCCATAAATTTTAAGCTTCAATTCTGGAATATAAACATAAATACCTTGTAAATTTAGTTGGTAAATGAGGTCTCTGATTGGCTGATATTTCCTACTAATTCAAAAATATGATTCCACCATCTCCACCTTTAGCTTGCTAACTAGATGACCAAATCACAGAGTTATAACAAATTACATTAGTATTTTTGTTTAAATCTGATCACGTATTCAAGCCATCTGAAGAAAAGGGAAAAGCCCGTCTATTTCTAAGTAACAGATAAAGCTCAACCTCTCTGCTATTACTTGAATGAATCAAACGCCATAAATGCCTAACACAAGTTTAGCGCCACATTATTTCCTTAAGCATACTAAGCCAAGCCGCTATTTCTTTCACATTTTACTTTTGAAACCATTTCAATCCAAGGCACTGATAAGAATTTCTGAAAACAACTAAAGACTTTTAAAAGACAAACATTTTTTCCTGAACGCGTTTTCCGGACTAATAAAAGTTCATTTTCTGAGATATATTGTGTAGAACAGGCGGCAGCGAAGTGTTTATGATCTCCTGTATTGTAGCTCACATTTATTTTAGACCT